AGGTGGCGGGACATGACGGCGGAGATCCCCATGTGGCCGTGCAGGGCTCGCTCGATCACAAACCCCTCTGCCTCCACTGAGCCCACCGCCTGCCGCCGGGTGCCCAGGGCGCGCTGTGGGGGCATGGACAGGGGTCATCCCTGTCCCAGAGTCACCCTGGGTGCCATCCCCATGCCCTCCAATGCTGTCATCCACACTCTGCTCACCCCCCAACTCCTGCATCCCACCTTGGCACCCCCAACCTGACCCAGACCCCTCCATCCCATGGCCCCCACCCTGGCCAGCAGCTCACGTAGCTGGAGGTGCAGAGGTGGCCCTTGGTGTTGATGGGTGGGAAGACGAGGCCGGGGGGCACGGCTTGCTGGCACGCCAGCACCCGCAGCAGCAGGAAGCTGGCACCCTCCAGCAGCAGCCCCCGCAGCTCAGCCTGGCTGTAGGAGAAGCTCCAGCACTGCGGCTCTGCCTGCGGAGAGACCCGGCCACCTTGTGGGACAGCCACAGCCCCGCTGTCCCTAGGGATGGCACCCCGCAGAGCCTGCAGGCACCCTTGGGTGGGACAGGCCAGCCATGCCCCCCCTTTCCCCAGGATGTGGGGGGAAGAGAGCCCCTCCTCAGCCTCACCTCTCCCTCCAGGAGGGTCTTGGTGATAGTCATCCCATGCTGGTGGCTCACCATGTGGGTCCTCCTCTCTACAGGGTGTGGTCTGAGCTACAGGAGGGGTGGGGAGCACAGGGTGGGGGGCAGAGCCAGGGCACACCCTCTCTGAGGTGGCAGACCCCAGCACCCCTTTCAATCAGGGTACCGCACCAGATGCATTGTGGGAAACTCCCCACTCCAGCTGCCACCCAGAGTAGGGGAAGGGGACCAGGCTGATGGCACAGAACCAGTGTCTGAGGGAGGGAGGGGACACCATGCTACCCATGGCGACCTTGCAGAGGGCACACCCCAGGGCAGGGGGTCAGGACATAGGCAAGGGGACCCGCCACCCCCACACCAGTCACCTCCAGGCGCTCCTGCTCCTCCTGCTCCAGAGTCTCCAGCTGTGGGGTCACGTAGGCTGGCAGAGCAGAGCCATGCTCAGCCCACCCCGCTGGCACTGCAGCAGGGACCCCAACCCCAGGCATCGGTGGGACTGGGATGCCCCAGCCCTAGGGATGGGGGGGACACCCCAAGCCGCCCCCAGCTCACCTTTGAGGGTGCTGGAGCAGGGCACGCCGTCCTGCCGGGCATGGGAGCCAGCTTGCACCATGAGGCAGCTCTGCACCGGCTGGCCTGCCCGCTCGTAGGGTGCCCACCGGGCTGCCACCCACCACTGTCCCCCTGCCTGTTCCCTTGGCTGTCCCCCTGCTGCCACCACCTCCAGCGTCTCAGCGAACAGGCAGCGCTCCAGCTCCTCCGGCCCTGCCCGGAGGGGCACCTGTCACCCCTGCCCAGAGGGGTCCCTGCCTGGAGGGACCCCTGCCCAAAGGAACCATCACCCCTGCCCAGAGGGACCCCTGCCCAGAGGGACCCCTGCCCAAAGGAACCATCACCCCTGCTCAGAGGGCC